CCTCGCAGCTCCAGCCTGGGCTGCCGGCTGGAGCTGCAAGGGGAGAGAGAGCCAGCGGGGAAACACAGCCTTTGGGATGATCACGAGGAAGCGCTCCCCCAGGATCATCCCAAAGGCCCCATTTTGCACAGCTGATCGGAGGTTCCAAAATGGCTGCCCGCTGTGTTGCCTTGCTTTAGAGGCACTGAAAATGGTGGCCGGATGGAGGATTTTCACTTAAAGGTGAGTTTTTTCCCCACAGGAACACATTAAACATGTTTTAATGCGTTCCTATGGTTTTTTTTGCCCTGCATAGCGACGAATCCGTATAGCGACGATTTTTTCGGAACGGATTATCGTCACTATGCGGGGCACCACTGTACATAATTTTAATAATAGGGTATCATCCTGCTACAGACTGGTATCCCAGATAGGAGTCCGGGCCCCTGTTCCTCTCTCCACTCACTCTTACCGTTGTGGTGAATCTGGATCAAAGCACGTCTTCCTTACATTGGTCACTTCAGGGTTGCAACAGTCTCCGTCATCAAAATTGTGGAGCATATTGTTACATTCCATATTGCAAACACCATCTCGGCGCTCCCAGGGATAACAGCGCCCCACTCGACGGCAGTCACCCCCATCATACCCAGTCAGTGGGTGCTTGCACTCTGGGTTACAAAACTCATTGCCAATCTTGCCAGGTTCACAGTTCATCAGGACCACACGGTAGCGGAGTAAGGAACTGTATATGTTGTAAACATTCAGTTGCCATGTGATATTGTAGTGGCCAAAGGCTTGACTCAGCATTTGGTGCTGGTGGGCAATCTGCTCTTGGCTGACCACAGGATGGAGACCATCATCATCATAGATGTTGATGACACGGTAGCGGACAACTTTCTCATTCCGCAGTGGCCAGTGGTTGTTGTAATGGAAGATTAACTCCACGTTGTCACAGACTGTCTGTCCACAAAATGGGGGCATGAGGGGTGACAAAATGGGAGGTTCTGGTGGATAAATGGACTCCACAAGAGGGTAGGCTCCATCCTTGAATGTCACCCACTGATGTTCTAAGTGACTGAACCTTGCCTTGAACAATGGTGTAGCTTCTTTGTCTTCAGCTTTTCTCAAGAAGGCCCTCTGGAGTTTCTCCTGGGGCAGAGCAATACTCCAAAGGGTTAACAATGCTAGGTGGCCACGAAAATTGTGCCCATTCAAGTTGTCACCTCCCAGAACCAAAGTGCGACAAGAAGCCATGAAGTGACTGTGAAGGTCACCCAGTTGCTGGGAACTACGAGCTACCCGCTCCCCATTCAAGTACAGCAGCATTTGCTGCCCATCATAAGTGGCAGCCAAATGAGTCCATGTGTTGCTCTGGTAATGGTGATGCGCCAATATGGTAGAAGCTCTCCTGATGCGGTCTGTTCGGAGTGAGAAGAAAAAGCGAGCATTCTTCTTCCCAGGATTCTCTTGCGAATGGATTCCCAGAGTCCATCCTCTGTCACTGGAAATGTGGGAACAATTGTCAAATACACCTAAACAGGGAAAGATACAGAAAAGGAAAATACAATGCAGGCATGCTGCTACAAGGACCAGAACTTCCAACTGAACACTTTAATGCAAACCATACATTTAAACAGGTAGTAAGCCAGGTACAATGTCAGAGGGTCAAACTTTCTAAAAGGAATGTTTCCTCAAGTGGTGAAAGACATCTATTTATCCTAGCTTCAATCATCCTCAACTACCCATTTAGCTGTGCTTTCTGCGATTGGCCATTAGTAGGTGAACAGGGGCTTAATTTGTATATCCGATTGTTGATGTAGGAATCTCTGAGGAAATCTCACTGTGAAAAGAGAAAATTGATTAATTATACATTCCATATGACATCTAATATAATCCAAAGAATTCTGGAAACTGGAACTTAGAGAAAAAGTCAAAATGTTTTGTGCAGATCAAACTATATATCCCATTAACTCCAGCACACAGTAGCCCTTCTACTTTTAACTTCATCACAAATAAATGACAGAGCTCTCAATCTGCATTAGGACTACATTGCATGAGGCAATTAAATTAAATTCGTCTTCAGACACTTCTCCCTGGATATTTATGACCTGCCCTACATGGATTCAAGGAAGATGGGTTACAGATGGTGTTTTCCCTTTTTGTTCAGGAGGGGACTGGTTGGAAAGAGAGTTAAAATTCCTCTCCCCACACACTTTAGTGTAGGTACACTTGAAAACGTTAACCTAATATAAGATTTGTTCCTTAAGAGGCAAAAAGAAAAAGAAAAAAGTTTCATTGGTGGAGATTACCATTGCCAAGGTTTGTGGTGGATTACCATGACATGGCAACAGACTCAGGAAAGTTATCTGTGTTTGTTTTCTTTTGTTCTGCCCTCATATTACACTTTGGTCTGAAGTTCAGTACTTCTTGGTATATATAACATTGGGTCAATTTATGTATAATACTAGCAATTTTGATCAGGTACAATTTCAAATTGGATAATAATTTGCAGCCACAATGCTACAATACTGGACAGTCACTGTCATTAGGGCCGTATCATTCATGTAACCTTGTCAGCAGTGACAATTGACAGGTTCCTCATAGTACCATGCAATGAATAACCAGTGGACTTACATCTTTCGGAGGAGAGAGAGAAAGACCTTTGCTCCTAACCCTAGATGAACACAGGCCAACTAGATCAGTTCTGAAAACATCCTCAGCATATTTCCTCTTCAGGGTTGAAACACAAAAGAAAAGCAGTTCTACAAGATGGTATCAAAAACCAACTATGGATTTCAAACTCACTTATGCTCACAGCAATGACAACATTAAGAAACATCTCACATGCTAAATCATGGAGCTGCACAGAAAATCTTTTTCAAATCTTTCTTCCTTTTAAAATATTTTAAAAATGAATGTGTGAATAGCAGATAGGGAAAGTCTGAATCAATGTTTATTTTGGAAAAAATCTAGCATTATCATGAGATCTGCCATGAAAGAAGAAAACTGGGCTTCCATTGTGGATGAGACCTTATTATGACTTCTCTTTAAAAATTATGCCTGTCTTCATCCAAAATGGCAAACAGCAACCTGGGCTGTCCCAAAGCACTTTTTTGATGCAGCTACACAAAGACCATGTTCCACTTTGTACAATTCTAACACGTACACAAGAACACATACCCATGCTATCCTGCAACTGCTGTTCTATTTCTACTATCTACTAATATTCTGTTCAGCTGCAGTGGGGAGGAGGGAATGGTTCCTTCCACTTTGTACAGTACACTTGCCATTCAAATGATGAACAATGGAAACATGCTCCTATAACGCCCCATTTAGAAGCAGGTAATACATTACTGTTTTTCCTCACTGAATTAAAGCAGAGTGGACTCTAAGCATTATGGATGCTATGCAATGAAATACAGTGGACCCTCGACTTACAGAATTAATCTGTATTGGAACGGTGGCTGCAGGTTGAAAAGTCTGTAGGTCGAGGCTCCATTGACCTACAATGCATTGAAAACCGATTAATCCCTAACCGTCCATTTTTGTTCCATTTTGTTTTTTTGTTTTTTCCGGTCTGTAGGTCGATTCTCTGGCTGCAAGTCGAACCTAAATTTTGTGGCCAGAGAAGTCTGTAACTCGAAAAGTCTGAAAGCGGAGCCGTCTATAAGCTGAGGGTCCACTGTATATCATGCCTAACTCTGGGATTTTTCAAACTTCTGACTCAATTGAGGCTCACTTCATCACAATTAAAATACTGTAATAGGCAAATTCCAATCTGAAAATCAGTTAAATGTGTCCCAATGCTTCCTTTTACACCATGAACAACTATCTGGCTTCAGAAGAAACACACATGCCCAAGAATTGATATGAATTATTGTTCAACAGAAGCAGACTGGAAGGAGGCAAGACTGAAGAGATAACCAAGAGACTCCTCCATGGAGGTGTGTTGTTTTGAGCCTTTTATTACATTTCTTTTCTCTTTCCTGACCCTCAATTTACAAAATCATGAGCTAGGCACTTGCAGACATTTCCCTTTGTGAGAACTCATGCTTCTCCAAGCTGTTCAAAATCCAGAGCAGTCTGTTGTCTATTGTGTCAGGGCAGACCACAAATCTCATCACCTATGTTGTACCACTCCATTACTGAACTCTGCAGATTGTTTCTCTCTGTGAAACTATCCGGAGAGTTGGTGCTGATTAATCAAATGAGCCCCCAGAGGATAATGACAGTGTCAATCTTTTTTGTATTTTTCTTGTCTGTTTTGCAAAACCAGTATTTTATTCATTTGTTTGCTGAGAGTCTGCAAACCTCCAAGACTGAAAAAGAAGCACATACTGAAGCTAATACTAATGCTATACTCAGATGCAAAACATATGGAAATAAAGACTACGCAGCACTGGCCCCTAAAACTGGTTAATAGTATTTAATCCACAGATTAGTCAAGTGGAGTTGCCAAGGGCAGAACAAGTTGGACATTTTAATTACCTGAAGAAACAAAACCCCAGGGGCAATACTATTAAATCAAGTCCTCATAGAATCATAGAAAAAATTGAGTCTAATCCTCTGCTCAGCGCAGGAATACAAATCAAAGTATATCTGACAGATTGTTGTCTAATTTTCTCTTGAGTGCCTCCAACATTGGAGCACTCACCACCTCCTGAGGCAATTGGTTCTACTGTCATACTACTCTAACAGTAAAGAAATTTTTCTGGATATTTAATTGAAATTTGGCTGCCTGTAACTTGACCCAATTATTACATTTCTTGTATTCTGGAATGACCAAGAGCAGATTCTGCACCTCTTCTGTATGACAATCTTTCAAGTATTTGAAGAGTGGTATTGTATCTCCCCCCAGTCTTCCTTTCTCAAGGCTAAACATGACCAGTTCTTTCAGTGTTTCCTCACAGGGCTTGGTTTCCAGCCCCCTGATAATCTTTGCTGCCATCCTCTGAACCTGTTCCAGTCTGACAGGATCCTTCTTAGCGTGCGGTGTCCAGAACTGGAAACAGTTCTCTAGATGAGGCCTAACCAGTGCCAAATAGAGGAGAACAATACCTCACGTGATTTGGAGACCATGCTTCTGTTAATGTAGCCTACGATAGCATTTCCCTTTTTTGCAGCCACATTGCAGTGTTGGCTCACATTCAGATTTTGATCTACAACAATTCCTTCTCCCACATAGTATTACTGAGCGATGTATCTTGAAACTGTGCACAAGAGTGTCAGTGATGCATTAGAAACTGGGGTAAGAGAACAGGAACCTCAGAAACCTACCAGTAAAAGGAAAACTACTATAGTGAAGCACCTGGAGGGAAAGACTCATAGTTTTAAAAATGTATGAATGCCAATGCATAGAGTACAGGAAACAAATAAGATGAGTTTGAACTCTTAGCAGAGGAAGTAAAATATGATTTGATAAGCATCACCAAAACCTGATGGGATGACTAGAATGTGGTGCTTATAGATAGACAAAATTAAAAAAATGAATCACCAAATTCATTCACAAATTGCTAATTCATTGATTTATATTCATACAACTCAATGCCCCGATGAATCACAAAACAACAATCTTTAATGATCTTTGAGTCATTGATTCGTTTCATTATAAAATAGCCGCCAAGACACCTAGAGGAACCAAAATTGCAGAGAAGCCTCCACTGACTCTCCTCTACAATCCATCCAAGTTTGGTGAAGTTTGGTTTCCCCAAGCCAGCTGCTAAAGGGAAATACCTTGGGGGGATAATTTGTGAGTGTTTAATACGGATGTCTGAAACCAAACCTGGAGGGATAGCAGATGAGAGTCAGTAGAAACTTCTCCGTTATTTTGGTATCTCTAGGTGCCTGGGGGGAACTTTCCAGGGGGGACTTCCTTGTAGGTGTATAACTCAGCTGTCTGAATCCAAAATGTCACCAAACTTGGAGAGCTTGAAGAGGAGAGTCAGAAGAATCTTCTCTGCAAATTTGGTGTCTCTAGGTACTTGGGGGGCATTTTATAGGTTTTTAAGTAAAAAATGAATTGATAAACATTCATTGATTCATCGGGAAAATTGTAAATTTGTAATTCTGATTTGTCAACCTTGACAAATCATGAATAAAAATAAATATTCATTTTTCTGAGTTGTGCCCATCTTTAGTGGTGCTCTAAGGTATAATTCATTCAAAAGGAACAGTATAAGCAAGAAAAAAAGGAAAAGTAGCAAAGTATGTAAAGAATATATACACAATAGAACCTCAGGATTCATGCAGGAACAGTTCCAACTGCCCCCCATGGATGCTGAAAATTGCAGATATGCAAACCCTATATATAACATAATATCTGGTTCAATCTAGAGGCCAGCTCTGGTAATACATGTTGGCAATGTTTGTTTGTTTGTTTGTTTAGAACAGGGGTCATCAACCCCCGGTCCATGGCCCAGTGCCGGTCCATGGGTTAGCTGGAACTGGGCCGCAGACACAGATCTCCACCCCCCCACACACACTGTGGAGCAGCCAGCCTGGGAAGCAACCCGATGGACAGCTTTGCTTCTTT